ACATGATTATCTGATAACTCACTCTAACTCTAAACAGATATGAATCTAGACTGTTGGGTACAGAGGGGCTCAGCCCTTTGCTACACATTTTGCCTTCCCAAATGGGGACAGGTATCCTAATCTCATTAAGTCTCATGAGGCCTGAATAAGGAAAACTGGATAAAACACCCATCAATGGTTACTGGCCGAAGGCAAGAACTCAGAAGGTTTAGCTCACCTCTTTCCATGACATTCTAGAGGATGGACACAGAGGCACCAAGATGCCATATGGAGGTATCCCTAGAAGGAGTAAAACAAAAGGGAAGAAAATGGAAGGGAACAAGGGAAAGGCTATGTAGGAACAGCATGACGAGGTGGTCAAGAGCAGAAAAACTCTACAGCCAGACTTCCTGGGTTCTGGCCTCAGTCCTGACACTGTCTGGCCCTTTGTTCCTCTCAGATGATATGAAGGAGGCTATAGATGGGGGGAGATGGAGTGAGTGGTATTGTTTTGTTGCTTATTCAGCAAATTGATCTAGGGAAACCAGGAGAAATGTAAGTATGAGAACATCTGCCATACAGTCAAGGAAGGGGTGCCGTACTGAAAATCAGCTGCCCAATTATGGATAGTCAGCCACCATGCAATGTCCATGAGCTGGTGTGACATCAAAGTAACAACCAGTGTTCACTGAGGGTCCACACCAGGCTGGGCACTCACTGTACTCAAAGCTGAGTATGAATCTTGTATACCCTGTGAGCTGAGGAATGTCACATCCCAATTTTCCAGGCATGAGGGGATCAGAATCTTGCCTAAAGCCACACAGTGGAATCACCAAACCTACCACTTCTGTACATGAGAAAGAAAATTGGCTTGGCCAACTGAACTTTGGCCCTGTGTCCTCACCAACATGTGGGTTCTCTCCTGTCTCTCACAGCTTTATGAGTTGAAAAATCAACAGATAAGAAGGCGAAATGGCTGGAAGCGGGCAGAGAGGCGCACAGGTCTGCTCTGTCACTGTCGGGCAAGTTTATTGTCCTTGCTCAGCTTAACTTCTTTTGCTTTATTTTCTTCATCTTTAAAATGAGGGCATTCCTCAATGCAGAGAAACTAAAGCAGATACTTTAAAGCAACAGAGGGCAATAGGAGAAGGGGACCAGGAACTAGAGAAAAGATTAGATCAAAAAGAATTAACTTAGAAGGTAACACCCACGCACAGGAAAGCAATATGAGTCAACTCCCTGTATAGCTATCCTTATCTCAACCAGCAAAACCCCTTGTTCCTTCCTATTATTGCTTATACTCTCTCTACAACAAAATTAGAGATAAGGGCAAAATAGTTTCTGCCTGGTAGCGAGGGGGGGTGGAGGGGAGAGGGAGGGTATGGGGGAGGGGGAGGGGGGGTGGGGGGGAAGGAGGAAGAAATGACCCAAACATTGTATGCACATATGAATAAAAGAAAAAAAAAGACCTTCAAAAAAATGAGGGCACTCATTCATGCTTCACAATAAGACCTAAGGATTTAATAAGATAATAAATGTGAAAGTGACCCACACACATGAGGCCTGGGTATAGTAGCTGCACTTGTCTTCCTGCTGGAATTTTGGCCATAACATCCACCCGGGAATATGGGTTATTTTTATTTTTTGGTAATCAGGAAGGAAGGAAGGAAGGAAAGAAGGAAGGAATGGAGGGAGGGAGGAAGGAAGGAAAAGAGGGAGGGAAGGTGGAAAGAAGGGAAGAAGGGAGGAAGGAAGGGAGGGAGGGAGGGAAGGAGGAAGGAAGGGAGGCAGGAAAAGAGGGAGGGAGGGAAGGAGGGAAAAAGGAAGGGAGGGAGGGAGAAAGGAAAGAAAGAAATAGAAGAAAGTAAAGAGGGAGAAGGAAAGAAAGAAAGAGAAGGAAGGAAAGGAAGGAAGGAGGAAAGAAGGAAGAAAGGAAGGAATTTTCATTTTAAAAATTAAAATTACATGTGTTAAAGCCATACAACATCATTTTTTATCATTTTAATTTTTTATCTTTTTATTATTGTTGTACTTGGGGTATATTGTGACATTTATCAAAGTTCTTACTATAATACATATATCATAGTTGAATCTAACACCTCCACCATTCTCTTTTATCTCCCCTCCCCCCACTCCTGGAACAGTTTCAACAGTCTCATCTTACTATATTCATACATGAGTACTTAATATTTCCATCACATTCATCCTCCTATACCATTTCCCTACATCCTGCCAACCCCCAGGATCTGTTTTACCTTCCTGTTCTCCATTTTTGAATGGAATGATTACTACAGTCTAGTTAATGTAACCATTTTCACATCATTACCATCTTCCTTCCTTCCTGCCTTTCTTTCTTCTTTCCTCCTTCCATTCCTCCCTCCCTTCCTCCTTCCCTTCATCTCTTTCTTCTCCTTCCTTATATCTCTTTCTTTCTTTCATATGGTGAGAACAGCTGAAATCTACTGTCTTAGAAAATGTCTAGTATAGAATACAGTTTTGGTTATCATTTAAAACTAGTTGGATTTTGTTCTCTGCTCACTTTGCCTACCACTGAAGGCATGTTCTTGTGATTAAAGCTATGACCTAAAATCTTGGTGGCAGGAAGATTTAAGTGGGATAAGAGACACAGAGTATCAGATTCATTGATATTTTGCTCAAGCAGCTCCTTCTCATTGGTGAAAAGGCAGCAATTCATGGACAAAGGTCTATAGAGCTGTTACATGTAGCCCACAACCACAGGCCACCTTGTGGATGACTCAGACTTTCTGCTGAATGAGCAGGATTGCCATTGCTATCCTTGGGCAGGCTCCCTGCTCAATGAAAGGGTGAGTTCAAAGCCTCTCAAAATACCATTGGATGGCAGAAAGTACCAGTTGCTTTCAAGCTGCTTTCTAAATTTGGCCCTGGGGCTTCTCCGGTTTCACTTAGGGACCCAGCAGTGCCCCGGCACACACTTAATACTCACTGTGCTGTGGGTGACCACAGAGTGACGTGTGGGCAACCTCACCAGAGCCAGTGCAACATCAGCGTCTCCCAGCAAGGTCACCTAAGTGCCTTCAGCAGATACTCTGGTCAGTAGAAAATTATAATTTATTTGGAAATGATTGGTCTTTAGAAATGTCTATGCGGAAGCAATTAAACTTTGAGAAAGCCAAGCAAATGTTGCTGGCAATGAAAAGGCAACCTGAAACCAAACTCTATAGAAAATTCGGGGCGAGGTTGAATTGTCTTTGAGCTCATGGTCAGCAGTCAAGCGCTTACACTGGTAATTCATAAAGACTATTTCTTGGAAGGATTTTTTGTAGATCACATGGTAATGTTCCTAGTGAAGAAACAGTGTTATGTGAGAATGAAAGAGGTGGCAGTGAGCACCCTGCCTTTGTCAGTGTAAGCTGATAATGACTTTTTGGAAAATCTTGGCAGCTGTGCAGTCAAGTTTAATGTCACATACTACCCTACATTTGACAAAATTGAGAGGACTTCATCCGGCCTAACTGCAAGTTATCCTTACTCCACAGCTCCATGGATAAGGTCACCTTGCCAGACAACCCTCCCTACCAAGGGAACCAGGCACAGTTCCTGCCTCTCCCTGAGTAGCAAGTTTCAGTTGCTTGATAGTCCACAAACTTAGCCAAACAACCCATCACATCTTCTTTCAGAAGCAGTGTCAACCTGTTCCCTTGCCAGTTCACTTTTTTTCCAGGTGCAGCCCCCATGTGGCCATATGTGCCATGTGGTGTCCCCTCCCTGGAGCAAATGACCATCCCATCTGTCCAGGGTCAGATATTTGGTCATCTCTATAACTCTAGAGTGAAAAGTTCTCATTTTGCAATGGAGTGACTGTGGTGATGAGAACCTCAAAATATTCTAAAATCATAAATGTACATACTGCTTAAGCTGGAAAATTCATTTCTAAGAAAATATCCTATACCAACAGTCCCAAATGCAAAACCAGAGGCAGGCAGAAAAAGAGTACTCATTGCAACATTGATTGTAAAAGCAAAAATCTAGAAACATCCTGAATAATCATCCATCCAGGAAATTGTTAAATAAATTATAGTAAACATTTGGTATACCTTGAAATACTATGCAACAGCTGAAAAAACATAGAATTCCAAGACTTGTTACATCTAAGCAATACATATGTTCTCCCAACCTTTGTAAAAAAAACCCAACATACCTCTATAGCTATGTATATGTCTGTGTGTGTGTGTGTGTGTGTGTGTGTGTGTGTGCGTGCACATGATAAAGACCAGGAAGAAAAAGGCCAAATGAATAAAAACAATTGCCTCTTGCATAAAGGGTGAAGAGAGGCAAGTAGAAGTTTTTGTGTTTCATAATTTTGTACTGCTTGGCTCTTTGAAAGTGAAATGCAACCTAGTATTATTTGTATGTAGGGATATAAAGTTTAAAATAATAAAAAAGTTTAAAATACATAAATGTCTTACAGCTAAGTATTGATCCAGTCTGTCTATCCTTCTCAAAGGATTCCTAAACAGAAAGCGCCCGATCACATCTCCATGTGAGTCATGCGTTTGAGTGATGTAGAAGCTAACACATTTCTATAATTACTCTGTCTTATCCCCCGTGACCTGTTTCTTTTATTTAACTTCATGTAATGTAGCAAGTTTAGAATAAAAGCATAAAGGAATGGGGGTGAGGTCTCATAAATTGGAGAAAATGAAAACACAAGTTACTGCTTTTGCCAGAATGAAAACCCAGAATGGTCATTAGTAATGATTCTCCTTGCTAAGTGGAAAAAAACCCCTAAATTTAGCTAAAAATTAAGAGTTTTATTCTTCTTTTTCTCCCTTTAAAGAAATTCATGAACAGTTTGGCACATAATTCAGATCCTAAAGAAAGTCACCAAAACTTGGGTCATGATTTATGGACTGAAGTCCTGTCTTGCCTTTGCAGGAGCCCCATCCCACTTACGACTTCTCCGTAGCCCTGAGTACAGCCTCTTGCCCCCCAGCCCCACTCTACCCCTGTGCCCCCCTGGGGACACGATGGCAGCTCACCACACTGATGCCATCATTGAGAAGGGCCTCCCCGAAGATCATCATGTAGAGCTGCTCGTTCACCCTCGCCTCCTCGAACACGGCCAGCACAGCCACAGGGTCCACGGACGAGATCAGACTGCCGAAGAGCAGGTTCTGCAGCAGGCTGATGTCACTGAGGCCAAAGGCCTTGATCTGGCAGATGAGGTAGAGGGAAAGGCCAATGCCAAAGGCATTGATCAGGGCTCCTAGGCCTGCCCACCACAGGATGGAGCCAATGTTCTCAAAGAAGGGCCGAGTTGGCATGAAATAACCGCTCTCCAGAACAATGGGTGGAAGGAGATACAGGAAGTAGATGCTGGAGTCCATAACCGGAGGTGACTTGTGGTCAGTGCCAAAGATGATGCTGCCCACCAGAGCCCCCACGATGATGAGGAGGCAGCTTTCTGGCATGAGGCCTGGCAGTCTGTGGTAAAGATGGAAGCCTGGGAAGACAGAGGACTTCTTTCAGTCTTTTAAAGAATGTGTCTATGTACTTACAAATTCATGAACAGTTTGGCAATAATTCAGATCCTAAAGAAGTACCAAACTTGGGTCATGATTTATGGACTGACAGTCCTGTCTTGCCTTTGCAGGAGCCCCATCCCACTTACGACTTCTCCGTAGCCCTGAGTACAGCCTCTTGCCCCAGCCCCACTCACCCTGTGCCCCCTGGGACGAGCCGTCACCACACTGATGCCATCATTGAGAAGGCTCCCCGAGATCATCATGTAGAGCTGCTCGTTCACCTCGCCTCCTCGAACACGGCCAGCACAGCCCAGGGTCCACGGCGAGTCGGAGATGCCGAAGAGCAGGTTCTGCAGCAGGCTATGTTCACTGGCAAAGGCCTTGATTGGCAGAGGTAGAGGGAAGCCAAGCAAGGCATTGATCGGCTCTAGGCTGCCACCACAGGATGGAGCCAATGTTCTCAAAGAAGGGCCGTTGGGCATGAATAACCGCTCTCCAGAACAATGGTGGAAGGAGATACAGGGGGAGCTGGAGTCCATAACCGGAGGTGACTTGTGGTCAGTGCCAAAGATGATGCTGCCCACCAGAGCCCCCACGATGATGAGGAGGCAGCTTTCTGGCATGAGGCCTGGCAGTCTGTGGTAAAGATGGAAGCCTGGGAAGACAGAGGACTGTCTTTCAGTCTTTTAAATGAAGTGGTGCTGGATGTACTACAGTCCTTTTCCTGTGAGTTTTCAATACTAAGAAATAAACACAGGCCTCATGTTTGCTAGGCAAGAGTTATACCACATGAGCCACGGCCCCAGTCATGAGAGATCTTTTTAGGTCAAGCAGATGGAACCTTGGGCTAGCTGGTTGACACCCCTAAGCCTCAGCATCCCATCTGTAGCAGGACCTGGAAGTGTTGTGGGGACTGTAACTAAGATCTGTGCTTAACATGCTGAACTTCTGCTGTCCCATCTCCTCTCCTTCCTCCTGCACTCCCCATTTTTTAGGGATCAGAGAGAGCACATAAGGGCGAAGGAGAGGAGTGAAACTTTTGCTCTCAGGCAAAATCCACCTTGTAACTCATGCACAACCGAACAAAGTCACATATACCTCAACTTGTTCCAAACTTACCTTATTCCCTTCTTCACCAAGCAAACGGGCAAAATTAAAATGTTTTCTCTGTATTTTGTCTCCACCAATTAAACCAATAACATTGCTATCTGATCAGCCACTGAGGAGGGAAATGAGATCAACTCATGAGCCATCTTCCATCATCTTTGCCCCTTCCTATAATCAGCCCAGATTTCTCAAGTATCACTCTCATTAGCCGCCCCAGAAGTCTACCCATTCTCTTAATTTCTACAGACACTACCTTTATTGTTGGGGCTCCCTTATTTCTTCTGCCCATGTGTTAAAGATTTGGTCATCAAGGTGGTGCTTGGGAGGTGGTGGAACCTGTAAGAAGTGGATTCTTGTGGGAGGTCAGTAGGTCATTGGGGTGTTCCCTGAAAGAGGATCGTGAGACCTCACCCCCTTCCTCCTCTTGACTCTGCTTCTTAGTAATGAAGTGAATGAGTTTGCCCTGCCACACTCTCCAGCCATCCATTGTATGTTGCACCGCCACTAATCCAAAAGCACTGCAGCCAATCACTCATGGACTGGGACTTCCAAAACTGTGAAGCAAAATAAACCTTTCCTCTTTATAAACTAACTAGGACCAAGTCAGGCAGATACTCTTGACATTCATTGAGGAGATTTGACTGGAGCAATTTTTGAATTGCAAAGAATATTAGGAAAACAATTGGATGATAACTTTGTGCCAAATGATAGAAGGCCCTGAATTCAAAAGTAAGGATGGTAGGCTTCCTCCCATAGGCCATGGGGAGCGAGTGAATGTCTCCTTAGTAATTTCAAGGCTCAGCCATCCAAAAAAGATGTGGGTTTCCCTGAGCACAGCTTTGAACTTTTCCACTATACGCAGGCAGGATGATAAAATTGAGTATGACTGTCATCAAGGGACATCTCCCTCTTCTACATTGATCCCATTGAGGTCAAGGCCAGTTTATGACCTCTTTCTAGAGTCCTATATTCTCCATTTCCTAATTGCAACTTTCATGCCCTCCTCCTTCTCTTCCTCTCCTTCTTTTCCTTCAGTTAGTGTTTTTTGTATACCAAACTTCATATTGCTTGATATGTCAAGGAAGTGGAAGAGACCACAGTGTGACTTTTTCAGGTCCTGGAGCTCCTCAGTCTCGTCCTGCTTCCAGGAATCAGAGTTTCTGAAATGGATTCAACATTCACCTGCCTTCAGCCACCTTGGGTATTTATAGTGACAGCAGGAAGAAGCTACATGCTCACAAATGGGGGCATCGTAAAGGGAAGTGCCGCATGCATGCCATGTTTCCATAGTTTCTCCCCTTTAACGAGGGACAAAAGAGCACATCATGTCAAGATTTTATAGTTTCAGAGCTTGAAACTGAAATGGACACAAATACTAACTTCCTTCTTGAAAGTCAGGGTAGAACTTACAATTCCATTCTTCCAGATGGTTCAAGGAAAACTTTTCCATGATGTCCCAAGAAATAGAACTGAAATAAAAGACAGCTCACAAAGCTTGAGATGAATTTTTGTTATTGTTGTTCTATAATAGCTTTGTTTTGTAAATTCAGAGTTGAGTGTTTTAAAGGGATTAGTGAGCATTTTGATGTACTTCTTCCAGTGTGCCTAGCAGTCAGTTCAGTCAGTTCTAGGTTAACCTACCTTTCTTAAGGTCAGGGAGCAAGGTCATTTCCACATATTGCATGAATACTCAGTAAATATGCCTCGATTAATGAGGAATAAAATAATAAATGACAAGAATACTAACTGTTAACTGTATTCTTATTCAGGTTTTATAATATAATCTAAAAACTCATGCATTATTTAGGTATTAAAATTTTATAAGTTCTTCTTATTAATTATTCCCTCGGTAAATGAGCCTTCACATATAAACCTTCCAGCCCAGTACTTGGCACATGGCACGTATTCAATAAATACCCTTCCTTTCATCCTCCCTTCTCTTACTCTTGAAGACTAGCAAATATGCAATAATACTTGAATAAGCATGTTCCAACTGATAACCTACTTAAGTAATTTTCCTTTTCTAAAGTATGTTGAATCACATCAACATGAAAATCAAGAACATTTAAATCAATAGTCCCAAGAGAAAGTGTCCTTATAGTCAGTCTCTTCACTTTACCTCATAGTGAGTCAGAACACATGCAAAACCTTTTACAGAACAAACTGGTTAATGCTGATATAAATCTGCATTGAGATGTCTATTGACAGACAAAGTGACCAACTTATCAACAACATCTAGTTTCCTGATTCCCAGACCAACTTCAGCCATTGCTGAGAAGAGGAAGAAGAGTGGTGGAGGAGGGGACAATGGAGACAAAGACTCTTGCCAATGTTTATAAAGGGGCACTAAAGTGCCACTAAGGCCACCTTGAACCTTCTCTGGGCCCATGTGGTTTCATGAAAGGTGCTAATCTCTGCTCTGAACTGAGGACAGTTTCCATTTGGAAAGTCATTTACTCAAAGACTTTTTAAAAATAATGTGAGACCCTTTGCATAATTTAATTGTTTAACAAATTGCAAGAGAGTTCTTCACTCCAACAATTTCCACTCAGTCTTCACACTTCACTAGCTCAAAATGAATAGCTGTTACAAAGAAGTACACCTGCGTCCCCAACCTCAGGTGAGAGAATTAAGTAAACAGACAGGAGCCTGAAAAGTTAACTGATACCACACATGGCTCAATCCATACAGTGGTACATGCAGAAGTGCATACACATTGCACTAGTGCACGCACAAACGAGCATCAAAATATTCTCGATTCTACCTCAATTAAGCAATCTGCACATTCAAATAATATAGAGTTGATAGCTGAGGCAAAGATGTTATGCTTAGTAACTGAGATAATTGTATTGATTTTCCACTTTGGAATAAGCTGGCTGTAAAGGGACAAGAGGATACAATTAGGAATTAAATAGTCACAGAATGTAAACCACCACTTTGGCTTTTGGCACAAAGAACCTTTGATTGGAACTTAATCCATTCACTTGAATTAACTATTTCACAAAGAAAAACAGAAGTGTCCCATCGGCTCCATTTAACTTAGTTGTAAACCAGTCTTACTAACAGATATCATCTTATATGCTCCACATCCCATCTCTGAGGACTAAATGAGTTGCCTGTGGTTGTCTTGTCCTTGCTTTCTGTCCATTTCACAGAGCATGTGCCAATTATAAAGAATAGACAATGGGGGCCATTGATGAATTCCACACTTACATGGCTGAGAATGAAGAAATATTTTACAGAAGAACCATCATGTGGCTTCTGAAATGTCCAACCTGAATCACTCCAAGGTCTTCATGCTTTAAGCATTTTATCTTTTAAACCACAGAACTTAAAACTTTTACTGATAAATACTGTTACATGGTTGTCGCACTGAAATGAGAGGAAACCAAAAGCAACCCAGGATCCAGAAGTATGCCATTAAATTTCAAGCCACAGCCCTGAAGCATTAAATAGCTTTGACTTTCTTTTGACTTAAGGAAGGGAGTTGTTGTTTTTGTTAATGTAATAGTGGTAACAGTTAAAATCCACTTAGACCATCACCTACAAGGATTTTTACGTATGTTATCTCATGGAGAAACAACTTCCCAAACCAGGTATTTGAGGACTTACCGATTTTTGCAAGAGATGCTAAAAGTATCCAGAGGGTGACCTCATAAGGAATTTGCACATAATCATAATCCAGTTCAAAAACAGATATCCTTTCATCTGGCTCTGAGCTGGAAGCTGCAAACCCAGCACTGGGTATGTGCTGGGCACGGGGACTTGTGGAAACATTCAGACTGGAAGATGCTTCAGAACATGCAAGGGCCACCAGCAACAGCACTGAGTTCCAAGGACTAAAAGGCACAGACATCTGAAGAGCCATGCTTGTGGGCTTTTCTCAGTGCACACCTGGGTGTCTCTGAGGTAGAGAGGGCTTCTAGAGATAAGCTGCATCACCCAAATCAAAGATAAAACTCACTCAGTCCATGGGTCATTCTGAGAAGAGCCCCGGTGTGTTACTGAGCCTGCATGGAGATGCTTTCTAGTCTTCTTTAAGTCATTCCTGTTCAAGCAATTCAGCTTCTGGCTCAAATGTAGTCATTCAATGAACTTGTTACAGACCAGGTAGCTACCTGTAGGACCTTCATCCAACTGTGACTTGAAGAGAAATTTATGAAGGGAGACTATCTCTTCATTCAAAGCCGTTTCCTCACTTCACTGCATACTGGTTTCTTCTTGTGAGTGAAAATCGGAAAGGACACTACAGTGCTCATTCCATGTACTTTTGGAGTCCTTTAATGAAGAAGGGAATCCTTTCCGCTCTATCGGATCCCAGGAAAGAGATACCTGTGCCGTACCTGCTCCTTCTCTCCTCCCCCTGCTCTCTCACTAGATTTGAATGGTCAGGTCTGCAGGTAGCTCTTGAGCCACAATTATTTGCTTTGATTTGACTTCTGTAATGAAATGCTTTTTCTGAGGGTTCTCCCTCAGAGGTTACACTGCTGACACCTAGTGGAAACCTGTAATATGACACCCTTGGCAGGTTTAGAGATGAACAATGACCATCAAAGTACATCCAAGGAGCTTTTGAGAATGAAGATCAATTAACAACGATGCCAGATCACAGGTGCAAACTAGGACTGTCTTGGAACACTGTGTCATATGGTCTCAATAAATGAGGAAGGAGGAAGAGGGATCAATGACAAGGATGACACCAAACATTGGCATGAAACATTACAGTACTCCATGAGCAGTAATTCATAAAAGGAATGAAGTGCCAACTTTCCATAAACTTTACAAAGAATTACTTTAAAAGCAAGAAACCAAATAACTACTTTCTCACATCTTAAATTCCAGTTATGAAAAACTCCACGGAAAATCCAAATTTTCCATTTTAAATAATTTTATTATTGTGGTCTATTTGTTCAAAAAAAGCATATCACAGAGTGTTCATGGAAGAGTTTTGAGATGAGTTTTATGAATCTATTTCTAGTTCTTCTATATATGACCTAGTGAACTTTGCCAGGTTAATTACCTGTTAAAGTTTCTCTACCTGGAAAGGGGCAGGATAACATCCGCCTCATCAAGACATAACAAGTGAAGTATTTGGTATGTAGTTGGTACTTAATAAATGTCAGGTTTTATTATTTTAATCCTATTTCTTATTCTTATAGGTGATAAAATATAACACTGTCGCAATGAAAAATGGCACTCAATAGAAAATAAGAAGTATCATCCATAATTCACATACTACTTCAACATCCACATCAAACTGCAAGGCAATTTGTGTTTTTCTTCTTATCTCCTATTATTGAGTGCAGATAACACACATACAGACACACACAGACACATGCAGACACAGACAGACACACCCCAAAGATCACTGGGAAATTGAGAAAGGAATGGTTGAGATCCTAACACGTAGGCTCAAATTCCTAGCATGATAATAAAATTAAGAGCTCATGTGTATTTTTCTCTGTCTTTCACAGTTTGACACAAAATTAGATTAGCTCCATTCACTAAAATGAGCTATCAGGTAGACTACAAGAAGGGTACCATATTGAGCCAACTGTTTTATTTTTCCAGAATGAATACGTGAAAGACCCATACTACAAGGTTTCTTTACATTAAAGACTTTGTTGTTATTTGCATTTTTATTGTACTTTTCTTCTAAAAGGAAATAATAGAATCTCCTCTGGTGGTTTGTAGAAAGACCAAAACTAAGAATCCAATACCTCTGTTCTCAGTCATTACTTAATTGACTTTGGGATATTCACTATTTGTTTGAGCCTCAGTTTCCCCTGTGAAAATGAAGATGTCATCCACACTAGGAACCCTTTTCCTGGTCTAAAATTTCAAACTTTCATGAATATATGACATTTCTTATGAATGATCCTTTTACTGTGCTTTTAAATTTGTTTTTTTTACAATTTTTATTATCATAAATTAATAGTACAAGGGAATTTCATTGTGATAGTGCTATAAATATGTACAGTGTACTTTGAACAAGTTCACTCCCTCTATTTTATTCCCTTAACTCCTCCTCCCCCTTTTTTCAGATAGTGTTTGGTAGGTTTCATTATAACTGTCCATACACACACATACATATATAAATATAAATACACACACACACACACATATATATATATATCTATATGTGTGTATCCTCACATATATGTGTGTCCTCACATATATAGCTAATGTATTTCCATCCTTTTTACCCCCCACAGCCTCTCCTTCCCCCAACCCCAGATCTCACCCAAACAGTCCCCTTTTACACTCAAGTCCCATTATTATTATTGTTATCATCATTATTGTTTTAGATCTATGTTCCACACATGACTGAAAACATATAACTTTTTGGCTTTTTGAGCTTGGCTGTCTCAATCAACATGATGATTTCCAGTTCCATCTATTTTCCTGAAAGTGACATAATTTCATTCTTCTTTATGGTTGAATAAAACTCCATGGTGTATATATACCACATTTTCTTTCACCTTACAATCAACTGACAACTGATGGCACAATCGGTATTAGCGAAGTGATGCCAACAGAGGGAGGCAGTAAAACAACTTGCATTCCAGGTTAAGATTTAGTTGCTCCCCCTTGTTGACCCTTGGCATCACTTCCACCCTTGCAATACTTTTCACACATTTGTCTAAAGTGCTTTCACAAGCTAGCACACTGAGTGTAAGACAAAGCTTCTGTGAGTGCTGCAAGCCAAAGACAGCACAAGGAAGGAAGAAAGGAAGTACTTGCAGAATAACAGAGTTTCAACTCCTCCACTCCCACCACCCAGTAATACAGCCACGGTTCATGAGAATTACTAAACATAAATGCAACTTCTCGGTCTCCGGAAATTATTCTAAAGGCATACAAAACGGAAGAAAACATCCTAAATACCTGTAAGACCTTCAAGAATCTGTGGCATGACCTGTTTTCTCTCCCTACCCATGAGCTCAGTGTAAGGAAACCTCTTCTCTGGGTAGATATAGTCAAGGGCTGGACTCTAAGCTCAGCTCCCAGGCAAGGGCTGCAGTTTTTACTCAGAAAATCAGGCTGTCACTATATGTTTCCAAAGCCTGCACAACCTCCAATAATGAGTTGCAGAAGCTCTGTTGCAGACAAGTGTGACTGACAATCCTTTTTCCATGAAGCTGCACTCATAGGACTGAGGTTCAACCCTGGCAGGGCTGGCCAGGAACATGGGTACTTAACCTCTTTCACCCCAGCTTGCTCGTAAGACTGAGTTTCCACACCAGGAAATACTTTCAAGCAAACTAAGTACACAGAGGGCTACTGCCCTGAACAGTATCCAACTCATAAAGTATAGTGTCCCTGAAAGAGAAACAGGTTGCTGCCCTGTCCCTGTCTCCAGAAAAATGGACTAGAGGTTCTGCCAAACAGAAAAGGAAAAACAGCTCTACAGCTATCTCTAAAGAGACTATTTGAGCAAAGTGTAGAGAAATATAAGCCTAAGGGAGCAGTCAAAACCAATGAGCACGTAATAAGAGCTAGTAGGAGGCAGGATGGAGAGATAGATGAGGTGACCAGGAATCAGAAATAAAAAATATTAAGAAGGTCTGACTCAAGAATTAAAACAGAATAAGGAAGATAAAATAAAGCTGAAAAATCAGAGCATCAAACCCATCATCTTCCTTTATCCTTTTATTTTATTTTTATTTATATTTTTATAGTTTTACTATATTTTTGAATTAGCATACATTAATAGTACAAGGGGGTTTCATTATGATGATTCCATACATGTGTAAAGTGTTCACATGAACAAGGTGACCCCTTCCATTACATTCCCACCCCCCCACAAAGTTTTGTGGATTTCATTATGCAGTCTACACCTGCATTTCTGTGTGTGTGTGTGTGTGTGTGTGTGCGTGCAACATACATTGACCCTCCTTATCTCTCATTGTCCTTTCCTTTCCCCTAGTTATTTATTTTTTTGTATTAGTGAGTATTGAACTCAGCGCCTCTGCTAGGCATGCACTCCAACACTTGAGCCATGCCCCCAGTTTTTCTTTTCTTTTAGATGTTAAATAACTTAACAGAACAGGGAGACACAGCAAAAGGCAAGTCTGCCTTCTCCCTTTAGATGTCTAGGAGCTGAAAATTGTTGGATAAAGTAGAAGCCAGAAAATTAAAGGGCCTGTCTGGTAAATGGAAGTCTTGAAGCTCACACCTTTTGTCCCTGTGTTTTGGGTAAACCCAGGCTACTTTGAAGAATAAACAAGACCCATCTTAACTATGTTTTAAATACACACTAAACCTATTGTCTTAATGCTTGGAACCTTAGCTCAATGATTAGGGGTTGCAAAGTAATGAGACCATGTGTCTAGATAGGAAATCAAGAATACCCCAGGCAAGAACCTCCATTCTAAGTCTTTTTCACTCCCACCTCTTGCATGTGAAGTGCAGCAGATATTTCTCCCTCCCTTTCCCGTTTCTCCCTACCTTATCTGTTTTACTAAGACAAATCCTTACTAAACTTCTAAATTGTGAGTCTCCTTTTGTGAGACTCCTGGAAATGCTTTGCATCATGAATCTTAAGTTCCTGTAATTTATGTGGAAACTGGTAAGCTGAAAGAGTCCCCCTTGTTCCTTCCTTCCAGTAATAGCTCCATGATCACAAGTGAAAGGATAGACCAACTAGAAATTTAACAGAAAGACTGGGGAAAGAAATAGCTAAGAGCCCGCCTGAGCTCAGAGCAAGTCTCAAAGACTGGCCTCAAAGATTAACCTGCAAAGGGTTTGGCTTCAGCTGGATTTTACTGTGAAACAAATAATGGTCCAGGGCATTGTTGAAAACAATAGCTCATTCACCTTTAAATTACCTGAAACTGGTAGTGAAGTATGATATGGAAGCAGGCTAGAATTAGGAAAAGTTCAGGATTCTTAGAAAACATATGACTTAATATAATATTTCAGATTGAACATTCCTCTCTCAGCCTTCCTTTCAGTTGCAGATGTGTGTGGCTTATCTACACCCTAGCTTAAGGACAACTAGAACCACCTTCACCTGGCCCAGGAATCACCCATTCCCCTCCCACTCACTGCTTATTGGTTATAACCAGGTTCTTCCCTTCCAAGGTTAGCATAAGTTTTAAAAGAACTGGAAAAGAGAACCACACTCTGTTTCTGCTTCCAGCTTCTACCTGGTCCCACCATGCCCCCTTTTTGTAATTCCCCTCCCTAACTTTTAATAAACTCCATTTACACCCATGTGTCCTGCCATTTATTCTTACATGTGGGACACAAAGAATTTGGAAATCCTCTGACCAGAGACTACACCATTGCCATTAACAGTATCAA